CCTTAACTTTTATTTTTATTTTTTGTTTTTTATTATTTTTATTTTTAAAAATTATTGTTGTTATATAGATATTAAGTATAATAAGTACGTTTAAAATTTCAATTATACAAGTGTAGATAACTGATTAGTTAAATAAATTGGTTAAACATGTAGGCTAAATAGTTTTGGACTCTTCTATTTATTAATCAGCTTGATACTTATAGATATGTTATTTTCATATCCATTACTTATCCATTTTTTCTATAGTTCTGATATAATACTTACCTAAATTGATAAGGTAATATAAGTAACATGTGTATCCGTACCTAATGCTCACCCTTAGTTAGTAGGATTCTCTAGTTTTGTAGTAGTTAGGGGTGATCATTTTTGAGTGAAGGTCGGGTATTAGTCATATTTGATGCTTGACTTGAAAATTTTTTAGTACAATTTCTTAGATTCGGTAACTACACAAATACTCAAATATCTATGCTTGGTACTTAACCTAATAGGTTCTAGATAATGTATGGTTATATACTTACGTACTTGGTTTAGGGAAAGAAAAAGTCTAATATGAGATGTTATTGTTGCGTGTGTTATGTATTTGATTTATTGTTTATTAGATTATTGTCTCATAAGTGATCTTTTCTAGTGTTCACATAAGAGCATCACCTTCTATTATTGAGTAGCTGTAAATGAAATTGTCTTTGCCCACAGCTTCTACCTTACGCTTCACATACTTGAATTGGCTACTTGCAGGTGGATAAACAATATATGGAATAAAGAACAACACCAAATGGGTGTAACCTACTTTTACTAAAAGCTTAAAGTCTTGAAGTCTAGATGATATCCAAAATAATTAGCGTTTGCCAAGGTTATAATAGACAACACCAAATGGGTGTAACCTACTTTTACTAAAAGCTTAAAGTCTTGGAGTCTAGATGATATCTAAAATAATTAGCATTTACCAAGGTTATAATAGACTGAACTTCACCAAAAGTAATCTTCTTGATGCTTCCAGGCCCTCCATCTCCTTCAATGATCTCAACACTCTTGACAGCTTGAGGCACAACCTTAGGGATGAGATTGTCTCCATCAAGGACAAAAGCCGTGAACATCTTAGCTAGAGGGATAGTAGTGATTATCTTTGTCTCATAAGTGCAAACACCCATGATTCGCAGACCAAACGAAGAATGAGAAGGTATAGATCATAGTTAGTTTAGGGATGGATTTTGAGGTGAGGAGAAGTGAAGCTAAGGTGAATCTTTATATACTGAACTTGATGATATTTACTAGTTTTATATTGATTTAGACATCAAATCTTAGGTCTTCCATTGGTTCATTAATATGTATATATTTCTATCTAAACAATAGATTATTAGAAATGCAATTTAGGTAAAAACATTGCAAATAAATGCCAACTATCCAATTGATTCTGATATTTGTATTGATTTGCTTCTCTCAAAGACAAGGACGTTTAGCAATTTACATGGTCAAATAACAAAATCGTGGATCTTGACAGCAAGTTGATAATGGAGTTCTTAGGTTGAAATCCTCAACTTTACAGTTTCCTTTTGTGTGCGTCTCATTATTTTATATGTAAAGTCAAAACAAAATTTTTTAGCTTGAATTGAAAAAGAAAAAGCATTATAGATTACAAATGACAACAGAATTGACTATAAAAATATTATTTTTGTTGTCATTTTCAATTCAAACTAAAAAACAATATTCACATGTAAAATACCCTGAAGAAAGAAAATGGGATCTGATGCCTACCAAAAGAACATGTATTTTAATTAGCACTTGGATTAATTCAAAATCATGAATAGTTTCTTAGATATGGTTTGAAATTCTATAGATGGCCAAAAATTCGAAAGATTTATAATCCCTAATTGCTTATAATAAGTACAA